TGAGATGCACCTGTACATACCTGTATATCACATTTTCTTTTATGAATGTCGCACATCCTCCACCTCTACCATTATTCCTGTCTTTCCTTATTACTTCATACCCATTCAGCTTAAAATCCAATGACTTGCATAACCATGTTTCTTGTATACAAATTATATCAGGAGATTTACTCATATCTGCAACATATTTTTTAAACTCCTGCCCATTAGCGATCAAGCTTCTGGTATTCCAATGAAGCAATAGGAAAGACATGATAATGTTATGTATCACTACATTGAGATGCATCATAACTTGTTATGCTTCCTTCTGTTTTTCCTTCTTTAGATTTTAATATCTTGTGAATTTGCTCTGCTGATATACCAATGCAATTCAAGAATTTGTTTGCACATTCTACAATTTTTATTTTGTCTGATCTTCTTTCCACCTGTGCGGTGCCATTCACCACTGCACAGATAAACGCCACAAAATCAGTTTTGCTCATGTTAATACTGTCTCCTGAGTTATTTTTTAACAAGTTCATCTGTTTCATTGACTCATTCGCCTGAGAAGTTTGCACCTGTTCTCTTTGAATTTTTGTTTCTGCTACTTGTTTCACTACGAGCCGCTTCTGCATATGTTAAATTCTGGATGGACTTTACCTTCTGGATCTCATGAGCCTGCTGTTGCACTGGACATCCTGCATATGCAGCGCTGTGCTCTCCCCCACAATTGCAGCATTTCATCTTAGTTCCTTCCTGACACTTCCCGTACTCATGCTCTTCTCCACATTTTGCACACCGCATTTTCCCTTTGCAAACAGCAGCGGTATGCCCTATGCGTTGACAACTGTAACAACGTAAAGGAGGGGGAATATATTCCCGTACCACATAACTGATGAAACCTAGCTTCACCTTTACTGGTAAATTGCTGTCTTCAAAGTGTATCAACATAGAGAGACTATCACATTTTTTATTATCTTTCCATATCATCAGTCTTTTGACCGAAGCAACTTTACCTCCAATCAAGTTTCCTTTTACTTCCTCCATAGTTACATTCAAGGGCACTCCTGAAATCACCCCACTCTTCCTCATACCTACTTCAGCACAGCTTATTTTACCACCAGCCAGTGATTTTAGTTTTAGTATCTTTGCTCTCTGATTTTCATCCTTACACTTGATCAAAACTCTTCCATTGTTCAAACATGTTGCCCCTTTCACTGATCCTACTTCTTTTTCTATCGCTTTTGATAATTTAACAGGATGCATATACTGTTCTGCTTGTTTGACAAATGTGATCATGACTTTTATGTCCTTATCCTCACCCTTTGCCTAGTCTCCCTAATTTTACTTGAACACATTTGTTCACATTCAAACTCTATCACCCATGTTATTTCCTTTTTTTTCTTTTATTATATCGTACTTCATGGAATTCCATTTCTTGATTATCATCATCTGAAGAATCATCCATTATGTCCACTTACTTGAGTCCAAGAAAAGAACTGTTCTTATCTGACCTTTTAGAATATGTTGATTTTTCTACCGCCAATGTTGTTTTCGTAGTTCGCTCCCCACATGTTCTTCGGAACAACTCCCTGATTTAAATCTAGCAGTTCTGCTGTGTTTGTGTCGCAAGTTCCGTGACGCAGGTAGTGACGATTCTCTCCGGCCAATCCGTGATCAGCAGAGTTTACACGTCACGTTTTGGTAACGGTACGGTACTCCTGAAAAACTTTTTCATTCCGCCTCGCCCCATCAAGCTCGCTGGATCCGCTCCTCTGTTATCAACGAGAGGAACGTCTGTACTTCCTCAACAGACAACGAAACAGACACTTTTTGTTTGTTAAAAAAGGTGCGCTTGTTTAAAACAGTTGCGTTCGATCCTTCGCTGGCTGTACTGATTTAAATCTAGCGGTTCTTTTGTGTTTGTGTCGCAAGTTCAGTGACGATTGTCTCCGGCCAATCTGTGATCAGCAGAGTTTACACGTCACGTTTTGGTAACGGTACGGTTCACTTGGAACCTCAACTGAGGTGGTACTAAAAAAAGTACCTGGTACTTTTTTTAGTACCACCTCGGTTGGGGTTCCAATGGCGCTTTTCCACTGCGTGGTACGACTCAGCTCGGCACGGCTCAGTACGGTACGACATGGCACGGCTCGGCTCGGTTTGCGTTTCCACTGCAGTTCAGTACCACTTTAGAGTGGGATTATTCACATGTCGTTATAGTTGCGCGGCACTGTACCCAGTGGAAAACCCCCCAAAAGTGAACCGTACCCAGCCGTACCGTGCGGTACCATGCAGTGGAAAAGCGCCACATGTGAACCGTACCGTTACCAAAACATGACGTGTAAATTCTGCTGATCACGGATTGGCCGGAGAGAATCGGCACTACCTGCTTCACTGAACTTGCGACACAAACACAAAAGAACCACTAGATTTAAATCAGTACAGCAA